AAAAAAAAAAAAAAAAGAAAAAACAATGAAAAAAAAAAAAAATTTTCAAATTAAAAAAAAAAACACAAAAAAAAATAGAAAAAAAAAATAGAAATATATAAGGGAAATAAAAAGAAAAGAGAAGAAAAGGAGATTTTCTAGTAATAGATTTTACTATAGATTTTATATTGTATCATATAATTTTGATTATATGATAATATGATTATATATCTCTTCGTTTCTTTTCAAATAGTCTCTTTCCCTTGCAACAAGTATAAAAAAAACGGTGGCTACGATTAGACAGCCAAACTAACGGTTATGCAAGGATACAAAACAAGTAACCGCCTTACCTCACAGTAATCGTTATGTATTATTGACACTTTGGGAAAATTCCGCGAATGATACAAGGGGTTTACGATTTATCGTTGTCTCATCACACATCGTGCCACCGTTTTTCACATTACAAACATAATAACTAAACGAATATAACTAGTTTGCGCATGTTAATAATTTACTGTTGGGGGACGGTTTGGGCTGAAATTTACTTTTATGTATCATGTTAGATGAAAATCTTTGCAACACAAAAAAAAAAAAAAAAAAAAAAAAAAGAGCAGAAATCATGCTTTGGGATACAATGAAAAAATCCGATGCATTCATACACAAGACCAACCCCAACAATCTTGTCCAATAATGAAAAAAAACAAAAAGTAAACAAAATAAGAAATAATAGAACATAGTATATAAACTTTAAAATTATTATCCCCACTTATTCTTGTCCTTTTTTTATTATTGAATCAGTATTACCATGACATTCCGCATTACTCTTCTTGGCTGGACGGAAGTTTGCATTCATAAGTTCCCTTACCCGAGAAATGAAACTCTCGGCTGCGGAAGATGCAACAGACATATGTGATGATAAAGATTCTAACATTTTATCAAGACGCGAAACATCATCATCATTTCTGAAGGATTCGGTCATGTCAACTCGCCTTAATTTTAACAATAATTGTTAGTCAGAATTATGCATTGTTACAATAGCATTATTATGGCCATTGTTGTACTATATTTATATTTATTATTACGCAAAATAAATACTTTAATGTCAAATTAATGATGCAATCAACACACTTACTGATCATAATTTTGGTATTCCTCGATCAGCTCAGATAATTGTGTAAACATTTCCTCAGGTAAACTAGCACTTGGTGATACCGAATGCTGACACGAATAAGGTGTTCCTAATGTAATATATAGATATAAACCACTTAAAAAATTGCAGAAATGCATAATTATATCCAATGAGGTTTTGACACTTACTAAATTGTCCTGATAGGTCATAGTTTGTTCCACTCACCCAGAACTGAAATCTGGATACATTAGATTCGTGTCCAGCATCGTACGGCGTCACAATAACGCCAATAAAAGGTTCCACACCGTCTTCACGTCGCCACATTTCCTGTATGAAACATGTAATGACTTTTGAATTATGGCTTATTGTAATGAATCATAAACTTAATAGCTCGTTAATGATACCTGGTACTGAGTTTGGTTTTCAATATCCCGAATTGAAGGTTGAGGTTCAAATGTCGGATGTGAATGATACCATCCAACAAATTGGAGGCCTTTTTCAGCAAAAACTTCTCTTGCGGCAACCTCAGATGCTGGATCCATTTCACACTAAATAAATCACAAATGTAAGATTACAAAATTTCGAAATTTAAATTTTATAATAATGCGTAAACACCTGAAATCCAGTGCTAGCACTTCTGCATGGAAATACGTATGTCACTTCCATACTTTCACTATCTGGATGAAAATGGCCACCGAGTAAACCGATGATTTCCGTATGAGCCAAATGAGCATGAAAATCCATTACAAGCTATTATCATGTAATATTATATTAATTTTTTTATATAAAATTTGTAATTATATTCATTTATCAGGGTTCATTTATTAGGTATACCATGACATTTGCTGTAACCGATACACGGAATTGCGCAGGATTTCTTGACGTATAATTAAGTGGTGGTACCAATCTGAAAGGATCATAGGAACCAACCATGTCATATGCTAAAACATCGTAACGTTATATGTTAAGGAAAATGTTATCTTGTTTTAAATATTTTGTCTTTAAAATATAGTGAAGGATATTTCGTTATAGTTGATACGGCCTCCTTTCGTGCTGGTACGATTTCGCTTACTTCTACGTATTTGACTGTCGCCTAAAAAGTTATGAATATTTAATAATATTTATCGAGGCGGCCAAGAAAGCTTTGCAGGGAATTGTACCTAGTGCCTCCTCATCTCCATCATCATCGTATTCGGGGCTTGCTCTTTTAAAAATGTCCAAAATTTTCATTAAATAAAATTATTAAATTAGTAGCAAGACCTTAATCTCATTCGTTACCTTTCATCATTACGACTCTTTTTACCACGCCTTAATTCGGTTAAAATTAAACAAATAAATTAGATTAAATTATATATACCAATATTAGCAAAATCAAATTCTGTGAAAATTATAATTAACCCATGGAGAGTCCAATTTTCATCCGCTAATGTAGCCTTCCCTTTTCGTTTTTTAATTACGGTAGAACTTTTACTCGCATCGTAAAGTACCTTTGGTTTGAAAGTTCGCTGCTTTCTCTTTACTAAATCGTCACCAACATTGATGGCGCCTACTAATTCTAGATACGAATGAACACGACCGATAGCATTCACATCTCCACAATCCTATGCGTCAAAAAGGTACAATCTTAACTATCAAACATATATGTCAAATTAAATCTTTTAATGGATACACATGCATATGCACCTTGAGTCCCGATCTGACACTTGTCTTGGATACATATTTTGGCTTATTACTATTCCATGCATTCAAAATGAAATTCCTAATTTTCATGTATCGCTCCGGCGTTTTAGACCCCCTACCACAAAAAAATTCCGAATTTTTTTTTCTTTCGGATTCTGTAATGGTTGCCTGGTCAATTTCCTATCAATAATTTTATCATTGTAAATTAGCATCGGTGGGGATAACCATCTAATATCTAAAAACAATAATTAAACCAAAGTAATTGAAGTCTACAAGCGTACAGTCACTCCAATTGGACCTTCATCACTCGAATCCATGTTGTTACTAGCCCCTGAGTCCTCCAATTGGTCGATAGAATCAGTGACCACTTCAGGAGGCGAAGTAGTCGCGTCTTTTTCTTCATCGAAGTCTGAATGATACGCGTCGCGAGGCGGTGATACATCCCCGACGACGTTTTCAGAGATATGCGAATTCATTTTTAAGACGAATTCGCTGGCAGAAAAGATAAAAGCGTTTAGAATTGGTCTCCGAAATATAACTTTCAATGTATTTAAGGGTTAAGGTAAGATTCGATAAAGATAAAACCGGTGTAAGACCTGTGAGAAAATTCCTGCGGGGTAAAATAAGCCAGAGACGATATTTATTTAGATGTCCAGTAATCACCATGTCTATAATCGGTCATATCTGTTATCACAAAATTTCTGATTATCATCATTAAAAAATATGTAATTTTATCAAATTTTTTTTTTTGTTTTTCTGCGTGCTTTTTTTTCGTCGGAATATTAATAATTTCATCCACTAAATAAGTATGCGCCTTACGTCGGACCAACCTTTTCTCTACAATAAGCTGTCTTCGGTAAACCCAAAAAGCATATATGGGCTGTCAAAAGTAGAAACCAACAAATTTTAAATTTTCAAAAAATTTTATAGCTCATAATCTTTGATAATTACTTGATCAAATTCAATAAATTTTTTTTAGTCAAAATTCTATAGATTTGTAGAATTCGAATAATAAAAAAATTATTAAATTTGATCTATAAAAGTTTAGTTAAAAATTTTTTTAAAATTTCAAATGCCCATATGGTCTTAAGTTTCTAGTATAAAGTTATCAACATCGTTGCCGACCGCTGAAAGATATTTAATTGACAAGAAAGGCGAATGTGATAACTACTGAAAAAAGCACCGCCTTATTCACAAAAAAAGAGGCCAGAGACTATCCGCACTTTCTGAAGGTTTGCACTTTATCGCACCTGCAAATTGAATATTTGCCCATATAATGTCCTCGACTATTCCATCATGAAATAACAACTCTTAAAAAAAAATAATAATAATAAATAAAATGTATCTATCGTAAATGTAATTTTCCACATAAATCACCTCCATGATAGCATTTTTTACTAATATTTTTTTTTGTTTTTTACTATCAAACACTCTTGTGAATGTGACAGACCCAGGTGGTTTATGTGGCAAATTACAGTAGAATGGTGATGGGATGGGAATAGTCCTGAAGGCTTCGCTTAAGTGTCCATATTCAATTTAATCCATTTGATAAAAAATTTCTTCATGCTGATATTTTAAATAAAGGTAAAAAAAAGAAAGTTTTTGTTGTTAGTTACATGGATAATATGATGACTTTTGACTTTTGAGATTTATGAACCTAAATCAAATGAAATATTTAAACCACCTCTAAGAAGTTCTGATAATATTGTTATATCATGAACAATTTAATTTATTTAACCTAATAATGGGTATTTATCATATTTCTCAATCATTAGATATTTGAAGGAAATCAATTTTATTGTCTTAAAAAGGTATAACGATAAATAATATTATTCTTAAAATATCGAGATGATTATTACTTTAATCTGTCAATCCACTGAAATTTTGAATTTGATTAGAAAATTATTCAAATGATCGATATCAAAGTGATTAAGTGTTCTTACGATTTTTATGTTATAAAATTAGATTTTAATTTATTTTTTCTTTATTCTATTTAATATACAATCTAGTTTGATTATTTGTGGATCTTTATATTAGTGGGCTGGTTTATTCGGTTCTGGAAAATAGGCCTCGCCTATTACATAGCATTTAGTGATCGATTTCTTCTGGAATCAAGCCAAGCTTTAAACCTCAAGCCATACTATTATTATAAGTGATAAAGTAGTGAATAGATAATAGATTTGCATGCAAAGTTTTTATATAGAGTAAGGTGAAAAATCTAATAAGGAAGTAAATATTAATATATTTAATTATTTTTAATAATACTTTTTTTATTTAGTAAATATACAACTATGTGTTGTAAAATTTTTATTTATACTAGTCAAAAGCTAGCAAATTGTAGCTAATTAATTGTTATATTTTGAACTGATAATTATTTAATTAATATATTAATTTTAAGATTTAATTAAATTTATGTTGCTAATGTTAAACCAAAAAATTTTTATAATACATATGGGCGGATTTGAGGAATTACTATTAACAATGTTAAAAACTTTAACAGTAAATAACTCTTTATACATTAACCCGTCTTGGATGATTTTACTACAAAAATGACTGTCTCGATGAGACGATTCTAACGAGCCCAAAATCGTTAAATCCAATCATGGAATTCTGAGATTATTAAGGGTTTATTTATCTCGGGTAAAATAGGATAGGTTTAACCCAACCTATTTTATCCAAAGTATACAACTTTTTAATAATCTCGGAATTCCATGATTGGGTTTTAACGAATTTGGGCTCGTTAGAATCGTCTCATTGAGACTGTCATTTTGGTGATAAAATCATGCAATATGAATTAATGTATAAAGAGTTGTTTACTGTTGAAGTTTTTAACATTGTTAATAGTAATTTCTCAAATCCGCTCATATGATTATTTAGTATATAATTAGAATATAAATTAATATCTGATATATTTTTTTTGAAATTTTATAATTATTAGCAAAAATAATTTGATTATAAGATCTGTATGTCAATAGCTTAGTAGTTAAGTTTCTAGATTATCAAACAAAAGATTAATAATTTAAATCTTGCTAAAAGTAGTGTTACAAGTGGTATAGGCTTCTTAGTATATCACAAGTAACATAAGACATGGAAGAAGGACTCTTAATGGTATCAAAGTAGGATATTACTTCGAAAGACGATTCATTAGAAAGATTATATTAAAGCAAAGAGTATTCTTTATTTATAATACAAAATCAATAATACAAGTACTAGTTGAAAAGGTAAAATTCAACCTCCGATTAGAGGTTGAATTTTACCTTTTCAACTAGTGAAGACTATCTATTAGTGTTTGTGTTAAAAGAATTCTAATATTAAGAAGATTGTAGAGGACAAACCTAACTTTAACAAAAGGAGGAAAAGGCAAGGTTTTTATATCTTTTTCTTAAATATCCTTAAATATAGTTAAATATCTTCAAATGTAGTTAAATGTTATCAAACATTATCAAACATCTTTAATATTATCAAACATCTTCAAATATCATCAAACATAGTTAAATGTTTTCAAGTATAATTAAACGTCAATAGGGATTTCTAAATGCTAATTACTCAATAACTACTAATCTAATTCTTACAAATTATAGTTTGTTATAATCATGAGACTATTCTGATTCTAATAATACTAGTTAAAAATATTGCTAACTTATAAGATAATTCATAAAATACAAATAAAGAATAACTAATTAATAAATATAAAATAAAGATAAAATTACTAAAACTCATTTAATAACATTTCCATTCTGTTAAAAACAAACTCCAGAGTTCTTTAACACTTCAAAGAGAACTATAAAGTTGTTATTTGTTAAATAATATAAACTGTTTAAAGTAATATACTTAGTGAAGTATAACTTTTTTTTTCTACTGAGAATAAGGAGTTTAGAGATTCATTTAGCTTTTATTAGGATTACAATAGCCTTTTATTAGCCTATTTTGTTTTGAAGAGTTTAGTTGATTGCTTTAAACTTTGAGAAATCATTACTATAGGTCTTTCTTGGTATTTCTAAATAATAGCATGCTTCAAGAGTTCTGATTCTGCTTTTTTAATTCTTGATTCAAGTCTTATTTTGAAGTCTTAAAATTATTTTACTGAATTAGTTCTCAAAGAGAGATGAAGTAAGAGAGCTGATTCTAATTAGAGATTTATTATGATTTGTAGTAAAATTATTTTGAATTTTTATTCAAATATCTTTTTAAGAGAGATTAGAGTTGCAAGCAGAAAGTTTTCTTGTTCTGTTTCTAAATTGCAACTATTTAAAGAAGCAATATTTTCTATTGAAGAAGTTGTTTCTTCAGTTATTTCTTCATTAAAGTAAGTTGGATCATAATTAATTTCAGCAAAGAGTTGTTCAAAAGGATCTAGTTCTATTAAGAGCAGTAGTTCTAAGTTGTCATCCTGATTATTTTTATGTAAAAGTAAAGTTTCTAATAATCTTCTATTAATTAAAGAGAATTATGTTTCTGTAATTAATAAAGAAGAAGTTAAAGAGATCAAATTTTTGTTCCATTAGTTAAGAAAATTATTTAATGCATCTAAGGTTTCAGGTTGCATTTGTTAGGTAATTGTAGAGTCTATTTTAAGAATTTTGTCAAAAAGAGTAATTTTTAAAAGGAAGGAATTTTAAGGTTTTTTTAAATTTAGGAAAAATAAAGAGAATGAGTGTCTATTTATAAGTTTTGATATAATACGAAAGAAAATTTTTAATATTGTATAAATTAATTCTGATTCTAAAATAGGTTTTGCAGTATTTCAAGAATTTTCTCTAAAAATCCTTTAATTTTCTATTACAATTACAGGTTGTCAGCAGTGTTTAAAATTTAATGTTCTCATAGTTCTCAATGAATATTTGAGTTTTTTTAAGAACATTAAGATTTAGAAAAAGTTCTCTTATTTGAGAACATTTTATTCTGTATAATGTTCTCTTTGAGAACATTTATAAAATTTCTATGTTCTAGATTTACTAATGAGAACAATAAATTATATAAAATGTTCATCAATTTGATAATATGATTTGGTTATAACAAATTCTGTATAAATATGTATATGTATGTATGTATACATAGCACATATGTTTACAATACAGGTAACAAATAAATATTTAAGGAAATAGGCTTTAAAGATTTTTAAAATAAAATATTCATTAACCATCAGTATGTTTTTTATATAGAGAGTATTGTTATTGTGTAAACTTATATATAGATAATTTGGGTCAAATGATATGCTGACAGAGACTTAAGAATTTTGTGATTTGCTATGATAGAAGTAAATCACAATAAATCACAAAAAACATCGATTGCAAAATGTAGAATTAAAAGCTATATTGATAATAGTATGGTCAAATTTAATAAAAGTATTGTAATATTTTGTATAGTGATATAATAATATAATAAAATCTTATATTTTTAATAGCGTTAGTTCAAAAAAAATTTTATATTTCTCAAAAAAAAAATTTTAGTATCACTTTTTAAAAAATCGTAAGTT